TGTTTCTCAAACCAGTTTAAAAAGTGAACATAATTAGAATTATTCTTCTCATATGACAGATTCTGGGGGAAGCATATTTTGTAACCATGTAATACTGGTGGTGTCAGCAGCATCTTTTTGTAACTCAGTTGCTTATGTAGATTTCAACTCCCATACTTCTAAGTTTAACTGTAGTTATTATTATTTATACTATCTTTTGGTCAACCAAATGGGCTACACCCCCAGATCTATTTGGGATCTTCACTGATTAGAGATGGTTATTCTGGCTGGATGTCTGCAGGAAGTCCACTAGCTTCTGATGTTATTAGCTTTCAATTTTTCTTTTTTGGAAGCTTTTGAATAAATATTCATGGCAGTTTTTATGTTTAAATAGAGCAGATAGGAAGCAGATAAGATTGCTTTAACTCTGCTCATAGAGCTCCAGCAGCTGTAAGAATTTCTGTAATGTAGCAGATGGATGATGACCGCAGTGGCTGTTACTCGTAAGAGCATACATATGTTCTCTTTGGGAGACCATGGGGGAAGGAGCAAGCTTCAGAGATGAAGATGACACGGGCTTGGGTCCCTGTCCTCCTACCTGTTAACAGGTCCACTTAGGCCAGGTGTGGTGGCTTACACCTACAATCTCAGCGCTTTGGGAGGTTGAAGTGGGAAGATCACTTGAGCTGAGAAGTTTGAAACCAGCCTGGGCAATATAGTGAGACCATGTCTCTACTAAAATTAGTGCACACTTGTAGTCCTAGCTACTTTGGGGGACTGAGGTGGGAAGATCACTTGAGCCCAGGAAGTCAAGGCTGCAGTGAGCACCGATCATGCCACTAACTCCAGCTTGGGCAACAGAGTGAGACTCTGTCTCAAGAACAAAAAGACAACTACTAATAAAACAGGCCACCTTACCTCTTTGGTAAAGGGATGAGGCCTATTTTGACACTTAATATAAGGTCAAATGATGTATTATAAAGCACTTCAAAGTGCTTTATAAGCAATTATATAGGTAGGAGGGTCATTTTCTTCCCTTTTTTGGTATAGAGATAACTAAAGAGTATATTTCCTGGATCATAGCAGCATATGGAAGCTTCAGAGAGGGCATGGTACCCTCTTTGAAAAGTCTCTTCATCCTGCCCCTAGGAGTGCTTCAGAGAGGCAGTGGTATTGCTGAGGTATTCCCCTCTGAAATTGTCATCATAAGTCATCACTTCTGAGCCCATTAATCTAGCTGTTTTTTTTTAAATAAAGGAAATATCTGTTGGATCCCACTATTTTCGGTCTATTATTTTCTGCTTGGCGTGTATTTGTAGAACATGTAAGCATATCTAAATGAGCCTGCTTTCTGCAAGTCTTAAGTTTTTCATGTTATTTTAACACTTTAGAATAATGGCAAAATCTTGGTTCACCTTGAAAAGTAGAATTTTTATAAATGTGGTTCTTAGTATGTGTGAATAGCTTTAGAGCTTACAATACATTTTAGACACGTTGAATAGAAGTGTTTAAATAGAAGGATTCATCTCTGGAGTGGTGGTTTAACTCATCATTTTCTTTTTTTTTTTTTTTTTTTTTTTTGAGATGGAGTCTCATGGTCACCCAGGCTGGAATACAGTGGCATGATCTTGGCTTTCTATAACCACTGCCTCCCAGGTTCAAACAATTCTCTTTTCTCAGCCTCCTAAGTAGCTGGGATTATAGGAACACACCACTACATACCGCCATGCCAGCTAATTTTTGTATTTTTAGTAGAGATGGGTTTCACCATCTTGGCCACGCTGGTCTCAAACTCCTGACCTCAGGTGATCCACCTCACTTGGCCTCTCAAAGTGCTGGCAGTATAGGCATGAACCACCATGTGCCAGCCTAATAAGTTTTTATGCTAAAATTCTTCTACTCAAGAACAAGATTGTGAGTTTTAGTATGCTAAAGACAAAACCTAAATTTTATTATTTTTTATTTTTTTGAGATTGAGTCTTGGTCTGTCGCCAGGCTGAAGTACAGTGGCGCGATCTCTACTCACTGCGACCTCTGCTTCTCGGGTTCAAGCGATTCTCCTGTCTCAGCCTTTCAAGTAGCTGGGACTATAGGCACGAGTCACCACGCCCAGCTAATTTTTGAATTTTTAGTAGAGACAAGGTTTCACCATGTTGGCCAGGATGGTCTTGATCTCTTGACTCCATGATCCGCCCGCCTTGGCCTCCCAAAGTGCTGGGATTATAGGCATGAGCCACTGTACCCAGTCAAAACCTAAAATTTCAAAGAAAAGAAAGATCATCAACTCCAACTACCATGAGTGGTTGGTGTTGGCGGCCAGTGTAGCGGCATCACTTCCATGCACACTGTCCGAGGCACGTGTCTGTGCTTATTATTTTAATATTCATAACTGCATCAGATCTGTCTGATGGAAAAGCAGTGAACATGCTGTAAGTACTAGTAAGAAAAGGCATACAATGATGATAGAAAAAAATGTAAAATAATTTAAAGAAAGCAAAGGGTAAAAAAACATTGTTCATGTGTACATGAGATGAACTGTTCAGTTGAAGGAATAACTGAGGGATGGTGTATGTTCACGCAATATGTTTAAAGCATTGTACCCATGCAGATAACAGTAACTGGCAAGAGACTGAGGGGAAACTGACAAAATAGACAAACTTTTGAATACATGGATTAGAGGATAACCATCAGATGCCTATTAGCCTTATGCTAATTTAGGAAACAACTAAGAGTGTGTTTAAAAGCTCAATGACTAAGAACAGCAAAAGTGCTGCTCATAAAACCTTGGTCCAGAACTCCAGTTTCACAGGTCCATATCTGTCTGATTCTGGACTAGCTGCTCTGCATCTGTTCTATTTAGATGTAGAGCAGTGAAGTATCCTTTTATGATATTAAAATGAGAATATGATAAGTAACACTTGTGAAACCTACAGGATTCATTAGTTTGCCAAGTGATAAGCATAACATATTTCAAATTCAATATCCTCAATACTTGAGGGAGTATTAAGAAGGATTACCTGCCTCCTAATTTTCAAATATAAGACATAGATCCTTTTAGCAAAATGATGCCCTAAAGATCTTATATCATCAAAGAAAGGGAGAGTGGGCCTGTGTTTAAAGCTCTCATTTTTGGTGGTGGAAATACACTCAGAGATTTTCAAAGTCATCTTGGACGTCTGAGCAGACACACTTACATGAAACCTGTGGGAACAGTTCTATCCTGTTCACAAATAGAGGAACTGGTTACTGTTCTAATTTTAGATGCAGAGCAGCAAAGTAGCCTTTTATAATATTAAAAAGAGAAAAAATGAGAATATGGTAAGTAGCAGTTGTGAAACCTACAGGATTCATTAGTTTGCCAAGTACTAAGTGTAAGCAATCTGTTGACCCACATCTCATTTTCTTATCACTGCAATGTCAACATAGTGGAAAACACGTAAACTCTGGCACAAACCAGCTGTCTGGTCCTGAACAAGCTACACAATTCATCGGAGATTTGGTTTCCTCATTTGAAAATTGGGCATTATGTTGCCCATCCATCAGAGATGTTGTGTGGAGTAAAAATAATACTTACTGAGACACTAACATGGTGTAGGTCATAACAGGCCTTCGATATTCATTAGCGGTCATTAGTGGAATTAGCATTAAGCTCACTGGCCATGATTAATTATAAAACCTCAGCAGAGAGTTTGAAACATGCCACCAGCAACTGATAGGCTAAACTTTTGAAACAAATAGACTCCAAATGCCATAGCCAAAAATACAATAGAAGTTCATTTATTTGTTTCATGGCAGTCCGGAATAAGTGTTCTAGTTCAGGAGGGCTCTGCTCCACACAGTCATTCAGGGACTTAGGCTTTTGATGTCTCTGCTTTCATTAATAGTAGCACTATTGCTGTCACCATTCCAGCACAAAGAAGGTAGAAGTGGCCTGGAGAAGTGTGTGAAGGAGGTTTTAAGTGGGTCTGGGGAGAAATGGCAAATGCCAGTTGTCACCTGCATTATGTAGAGATAACTGCTAGGGCATCTGGGAAATGCAGTATAGTGGGATAACCTTGTGTCAGCTACTATGATAAAAAGGCATAATTGAGAAAGCCACTGGTTTATTACATGGCATAGTAACGATCCTCTGTGCTCCTTCTGAATGGTGGCACCAAACTTTTGCTGAAGTTTTGCTGATAATTTCCAATCTATGCCAAAATGAAGAACTCAGACACAAGGTAAATACGTTGTGGTAATGTGAGCTGTGGGTAGGTATATCATCTGGCTACTCAGGGCATGTGATTACCCATGTTGGGACTCGGCTTAGGCTCTGCACTCCAGCCAGGGACTGATGGGGGCATGTGTCTTAAGAAGCAACCATTGTGATTTGCTGACGTACTTGGAATGCCAGAGGGTTGGCCTGTGACAGACAGGAATGACACCAGGGAATCTAGGCAACGAATCTGGGGACCCCACTGGGGAAGACGCCTCATGGAAAATCTACGTAGAGCAGAAGAAACACAGATACTGGGAGATAAGGGCAGGAAGAGAGAAGTATGTCAGGCAGGGAAGCTGGGCAGGGCTCCCAGGCACCAAACTGGTGCTCCAGGCATATCTGCAAGGCATTATATAGTTAAATCTGGAGACTAAGGCATTTCTTTGGCCTGCACTAAAGTAGGGAATGCAGAGATTAAGCAAGAAGAGAATTTAAATAGGGGGTAATGTTGATGTCTAGAAGTGATCCCAGGACTCTCCAGGACCAACTAGCTGGGAGCAAGACACACCGAACTACCAGCTCCTGGCTCTTGGCCAACAATCCTTTCTAAGCCCTACTGAGTGGGGTTAGTGAGGATTCACATGCCTGTTGCTGTAGTCAGGATAGGCCCAGGAACCCAGGTGCCAGTGGGAGCCTTGGGTGATCAAGCTGTGGGGGTGGGGACAGCATTAGGGAATGCTGAAATCAGGGAAACATGGACAGATTATCATATGAAACTGCTCTGCAGCTCAAATGCCATAAATGTGTTTTGTTTAATTTTTAGTCACCCTCCAGTTCATCAAGAAATATTCAACAAATGTTGGCAGATTCAATCAATCGTATGAAGGCATATGGATTTCACCAGGTAAAAGATTTCCCTTCTGTCCTGCAGGGGCTGCATACCTAGGCATTTCCACTAATGTTTCACAGATTAGTTAATGAATCTTGTGCAGAAATGAAATTAAGCAGCAGAACAGGAAATCTGTCCTAAAAGCTGCAAACACAGTTGTTCATCTTTACCCGTTTATCTGGAGTTCGGAAAGTCTTGAATGTCATGGAAAGAACAGATGCCAAGATGTATCAGCTAAACTCCTCCCGGAAGATCTAACACAGAGGCGGCCTCCCAGGCTGCTGGCAGATATGGAGGAAAGACTGATTTCAGACAGTGATAAATGGAGCATTAAACTTGGCAGAAAGAGTGAATTCAGATCGAATTACTTCTGTGCTCATTGTTTTTGAACCTGTCCCTTGAGGGTGAGCAGCTGCTGTGTTCCCCACATCCACCATGCCTGGAACCCCTTCTGGCAGTCAGGCCTCTCTCACGTCTGTCCAGATGTGACATTCTTTCTCCAGGCCAAGCCCTGCTTCCTCCATCGTGCAAGCTTGCTATCATGTCATAAATTGCTCAAAATCAATGAGGCATATAGACTGGCACTTGGAAGGTGTAGTAGCATTTGACCTACAGAGAGTCTGAAAAAGCAGCATAAGATGTGAGCCGGTGAAGAGATAGTTCCTGAGATTGGGCTGTGGTGGAGGTTCACCTGGGGACCTGTGTTCCTGGGGACCATGCCATGGATTCCATGACTCCTCTGCAGGGACATAGATCCTTTTTGAGGCTTCAAGAAATCAGGATGAAGTTGTGGAACTGTAGTCCTGTATGCATACTGCTGATATAATACATGTTTCTTTCTAAAACAGCAGCAATAGGGGATCTAAAGGACATTTTCATTCTGCTTAGATCTCACTATGCCATTTTAAATGGTGAGAGCTGAGGAATTCAAAGGATCATATATTCATCCCAGCAACATTTATTGAGCATTTACTACATGCTAGGCACTGTTATGGGAGTTGGAGACACAGTTTATGAAAAAAATTGATAAAATTCCCATCCTCAGGGAGCTTATATTCTTCATGGGAGAGGCAGATGATGAACATATCTATGAGAACAGGTGATCATAAGCTCTGCAGAGGAAAGTAAAGCAGTATGAGGGAACTGAGGAATGCTGGGAGGATGGGAACTGGGATGGGACACGTGGTCAGAGAAGGCCACTCAGGGAAGGCAGTATTGGAGCAGAGACCTGAAGGAATGAGGGAAGGAGCGATGTGGATGTCTAAGCCATGTGGATGTCTGTTCCAGGCAGAGGGAACAGCAAGTCAAAGACACAGGCAGGACCTCACATGGCATGGGCAGGGAAAGGCTGATATTTCAAGAGAATGAATGAGCCACTTTGCTAAGCTTCTCTGTAGGACAAAGATGATAAAACAGAGGCATTCTGCTTTGGGGGAGGTTGTGAGGCTCCAATGAAGGAATTTGTTTAGGGGCACTCTAAGGGCTTCCATCAACAGGCTGGAAAAGAGGCTTTCTGTATGAGTCTGGCAGCTTTCTGTACGGATCTAGCAGCTTTCTGTGTGGGCCCAGCATGGCCTTGTTTTCTGGTCCCGTTAGCTGGGCACATTTTCACAGCTCGCATCACACATCTAGGTTTCCATACCTTTCACCCTGGGCATCTGCACTAGTGTCCAGCCTCGGCCCCTCTGCCCCTCCACTCCAAGCCTTCAGCTGGGTTTCCCCATGCCTGGCTCACAGTCCTGAGTCCTGGACCAACATGCTTCTAGCAAAACACTGCTGAAGAGGAAAATGATGGTCTTCTGAATAGAGAAAGTAAACCATTACAGATTTTGCTAAACGTAAAATTCTTTGAGAGACTCAGGACAAGTTCCTTAAGTTTTCTAGCTTTCTTGAATAAATATGGTGGTCAGGGCCAGATCTCATCTGCTATTACTCTGTGAAACTCATTAATTTTTCTTCTTTTTCACTGTGCCTGTACCTAATTACATGTAGATTAAAGGAGTAGATTCATCAAATATAGCACTCTTAGATATTTGAGTAACATCAACCAAATACTACATCTGTTGTTATTTTTTCTTAAGTAGACTCATGTTCTAAACTTCTTGCTTATCCCCAGCAACAATATCCGTGATGATCATAGTTTGATGTTTTCCTATGTTTCCTAATCATTTAAAAATAAACACGTATGCTTGTGGAAGGATGAACAAAGCTCCACTTTTAAGTTTTTTCTGCTAAGCTTAGAAATTGCTAGCAGCACTTTTATGTATTTTGGGTTTGCAAACAGCTTCAGTCAAAGGATGGCAAATTTTAACAGTCTTCAAACATCAAAGCTGTCCTTTGGATTTGAAAATGTTGGCAAACAAAAGGAGCTTAGCTGCAGGCAGGAAAACAACGTAAGGAAAAAAATGAAAACAGTAAATGCACAAAAATTTAGTTACATCTACAGTGAAGCACAATTTATGAATGATCATTACATGGACTGTGAATTACGACTGCCCACAAGTTCCATAATATTAAGGTTTATATTTTTAAGTTGTGGTTATGTAACTTAACAGCAAGGAAGTCTTTCCTTTTCTATAGGAAAGCACAAAAGAAAAAAACCTGTCATTTGTAACAGAGAGGGGCAACCCAGCAGCGCTTCCCGGCCCTTTCAGTTTGTTTTATTACTTAGCTAACCAAGGCTTCTTACTAGTTCACCGCATTGTAAATTCAGTCTTCTTGTGAGCACTCAGAAGGTTATGTCCAAATAAAGTGCCTTTCAGGTCTAAGTGATTTGGTTTGTTCATTTCTCTTTAGTTTACAATGATTTCCCATGCCAGAAAATAGTATACTTAAAAATGGTTAAAGTGGAAAATTTTGTTATGTGGAATTTTACCACAATTTTTCAAAAAACCGAATTCTCCTTCTAAAGGAATATTCACATTTCTTTTTTTATACTTTCCCTTCTCAAAAGAGGCTTAAAAAACTTTTTATTAAACAAAAAAATACATATTCTGGCCAGGTGTGGTGGCTCACACCTGTAATCCCAGCACTTTGGGAGTCTGAGGCGGTAGATCACTTGAAGTCAGGAGTTCCAGACTAGCCTGGCCAACATGGTGAAAAAAAATACAAAAATTAGCCAAGTGTGGTGGTGTGTGCTTGTAATCCCAGCTACTCGGGAGGCTGAGGCAGGAAAATTGCTTGAACCTGGGAGGTGGAGGTTGCAGTGAGCCGAGAATGTGCCACTGCACTCCAGCCTGGGCAACAGAGTGAGATTCCATCTTTAAAAACAAAAACAAAACCGTATTTCTTTTGAACCACCTCAAATCATGTAGTATGTACCACATTTTCGGACACATGATTCAAGGGCAGGGAGAGATCTGGGAATGTGCATTTCTTCTGTGGAGCCTGTCAGCTGCTATAAGGTAGTTTGATGCTGGTTCTGTGAAATAGTGTACTTACATCCTTCTTCAGGGAGTCAATTTGAAGCAGCTAAGTACTGTGTCTGAGGAAAAATAATATTTTTTCTTCTGTATGTTACATGCTGTGCCAGGCACGTCTCAAGTTATGTAATCCTCAGTATAGCCCTATGAATGTTTTTTCTCATCTGACTTATGGGGAAACAGCCTGAGAGAGGTTCAGTTGTCAGCCCTCGAGTTACACAGCTAGCTAGCAACGTTCACGCCAACTTCAGGTCTTACGGACTCTGAAGTCCACACTTAATCCTCCCTAGTGGGCCAGAGAGTTAAATAGAAATCAGGTGTGCTGGGCACCCCGTCCTTCATGAAACTGCTGGATTTCGTCACCAAGGTTTGTTTCTGTTTTTGTTTGTTTGTTTTAAACAGAAGAAAGAATCCATGAAGGAAAAACAAGATGAAGAAATAAATGAAATAGACGAAGAGAGAACGAAGCAGATTTGTAAGGGCTGGAAAGAAGACTCCGAATGGCAGGCATCTCGTGAGTACCCAGAGGTCTCTGTAGCAACTTCCAGGCTCTCAGCTGATTCTCTCATTTAACAATGTAATCAATCTAGAAAGCACTTAATGTGGGTTGTTGAGAGATACCCACAGTGAGTTACCACTGAAATGTTATTACTAACTTATTACTCATATGCTTACAAGCTACTTTTGAACAGCAGACTGGTTCTCCATTCATTTCTGTATCATCAAAAGTGTGATGTAATTTTTCAAATAGCATGATGTATAGCTATGGAAAATATGTTTTGGAAGGGCATTTAATGAATTTAGACTGTGTTTGTTTACATTTCTTTCGCTTGGAGAAGAAAAAAACACCATGAAATAGGATGAAAATCTCCACTATTTAGAAATGTCTAAGTATCTGAAGGAAAAGAATTGGAAGGTTATTATAATAACATGTAAACAGTAGTTTTCTTGGAGAGGTGAGATTCAAGATTATTTATTTGAAAGTTTTTCTTGTAATTTAATATTGTGTTTGGATTTTTTCCCCTAAATTTTTGATACAGAATACATTTTAACTTTGTAATAAGTACACAGGAACACCAGGCTGGATGTGTTAGCATCCTGCTCCTGCCTGTGATCCAGCCCTGACTCCTTTTGAGTTAGCAGAGCCAGTGAGAAAACTTATAGGAGAAGCAGCAGCCCATGGCAGAGTACAGGATGCTCCAGAATGCTAGAAGAATTAGGTTAGAGAAAGAAGTAGTGTTTCAGTCTGACTCAGAGAAGTCTAAACTGCTAGATCATCCTGAGGCAGCTTGAGGAAGAGTGCAGGTGTGGCTGTATTTGCAGGATGTTGCGATCCTAAATTGATCTGCAATCCCCTTACAGCCAATGCCATTTAAATGACAACTTCTATGAAGTAAAAAATATTTGCAAGATCCGGTGGCCTCTTTGTACTATGCAGTGAAATCCTAGTATAAGGGAATATTTTGGGAATCTCTTTGAAGTCAAACATAACAGGATTTGACCAATAATGCCTGAAGTGTAAATATACTCAATAAAAATTACTTTTTCATTCTGCATTAGAGCCTCATTGCTACAACAAAAAACTGTTTTACAAAGTAGTCATGTGCTGTGTAATGATGTTTTGGCTAACAATGGGTTGTATATATTTTTTGGGCCAGGCGCTGTGGCTTACTCCTGTAATCTCAGCCTTTTGGGAGGCCAAACTGGGTGGATCACTTGAGGTCGCAAGTTCCAGCCTAGCCAACATGGTGAAGCCCCATCTCTACTAAAAATAAAAAAATTAGCTGGGTGTGGTAGGGCACACCTGTAGTCCCAGCTACTCAGGAGTCTGAGGCAGGAAAATCACTTGAACCTGGGAGGCAGAGGTTGCAGTGAGCTGAGATCATACTACTGTGCTTCAGCCTGGGCAACAGATCGAGATTCAATCTCAAAAAAAAAAAAAAAAAAAAAAAAAAAAAAAAAAAAAAAAAAAAAAAAAAAAAAAAAAAAAGACACAAAATAATAGGTTGTATATATTTTTTTAAATGAAGACATTTTTAATACATTTTATAAATGTAGTATAGCCTAAGTATAAAGTGTTTATAAAGTCTACATTAGTGTGTAGTAATGTCCTAGGCCTTAGCATTCATTGAGCACTCAACTGACTCAACCCAGAGCACCTTCCAGTCCTGGTAAGTACCCTATATAGATGCACCATTTTTTTGTCCTCTTTACTATATTTTTACTATACCTTTGCTATGTTGGGGGTAGTTTTTTTTTATTTTATTTTTTTATTTTTTGAAATGGAGTTTCCACTCTTGTTGCTCAGGCCTGGAGTGTAATGGCATAATCTCGGCTCACTGCAACATCTGCCTCCTGGTCTCAAGAGATTCTCCTGCTCAGCCTCCCGAGTAGCTGGAATTAGAGACCACCGCTACCATGCCCAGCTAACTTTTTGTATTTTTAGTAGCATCAGGGTTTTGCCATGTTGGCCAGGCTGGTCTCAAACTCCTGACCTCAGGTGATCCATGTGCCTTGACTTCCCAAAGTGCTGGGATTACAGGCATGAGCCACCGTGCCCAGCCTTATGTTGGGGGTGTTTAGATACACAAATACTATTGGGTTACATTCGCCTCATGATGCATTTCTCAGAACATGTTCCTGTCATTAAGTGATGAGTGACTGTAATATTAAAAGGCAGGCTTGGGGTACTTCTTCATGTTCTGATGTGTTCTACGATGATCTGTGGTTAAGCATCTCTTTAACTTTTTGTCTGTTGGGCTCATTCTCATTCTGTCCCATTTCCTGCTCCTTCATTGTATGCATAGCCCCATGCCACTGAATAGTCTTGATCTTTGCTAGCGAGTCAGGCGCACTGCATCTGAACATAAGTCTATGCAGGATGTGACAATTGCTTCTTATTACTCAGCACCCCTGCCACTTTGAACCCTTGCTCAGGCAGGGACTCCTCACTTGCTCTTATCAACTGCAGGAAATTCTTGCACACTTTTGATACTTCTCTCTCATTCCTTCTTCCTCCTCTTCCTTTTCTCTCCCTCTCAAAGAATCCCCAAACTCCCATATGAAGAGAGGAATCCTGCAGTGAACGCTGGGCAAGTCCTAATGACCTGGATCATAGGTGTTGATAATGAGTGTTCCTTATTAGAAGCAGATCACAAACTGCTGGGAACCTGTGCTGCTGCCTGTTGTGCAATGCTGAGCCTTCTCACCTGCTCTGGGGGCTGATGAGGATGTTCTCCAACCCTGTTGTTTTTCTAGTGCGAAAATCCAAAGCAGCTGATGAGAAGAGGCGCTCCTTAGCTAAACAAGCACGAGAAGACTACAAGAGGTTGTCCCTCGGGGCCCAGAAAGGAAGAGGCGGTGAGAGGCTGCAAAGCCCCCTGCATACTCTGCAGAAACCAAGACGACCTCCCCTTCCGCCCAAGCCTCAGTTCCTAAACGGAGGAGCGTATCCTCCAAAACCTCTTAGGTAAGTAGCCAAACAGATAGATGGCCTTAGGTATAAGGGCTTGGAATAAGTGTTGAAATTAAAGGTGAATTGCATAAGCTGCCATGGGGTGTGGAAGGTCAACTGGCAGCCTGTGTAAGCTCAGGCTGACGTCTAAGCCTTCTTCCTGGGTTATCTGGTCCGGCACTCCTCCCCTTCTTAGCTGTCAAACAACCATAGGTGTTATATTTAGTATACCCAGTGAAATTGTAAATGGAGTTGAGAACTTCCGGTGTCCCTACCCCACTCTCCCCTTTTCCACCCAGAGGCAGCTGTCGAGCCAGTGAGGGGAGAAGAGGAAGCAAGGGGGGATTTCACTGATGCCCAAGGTCACCCTTAGTCAATGACAATCAAAGTAGGAACCCAAAGGCTTGCTGACTTTCATGTCATCAGTCAGACTACATGTTCACTGCCAAGGATTAAAGGTTTGATGTAATTCTCATTCTGGGACACATAGCTATTGGAAACAGATGCTCAGTGCTGCAAAGAAAAATTAGCACTGAGACAGTGGATCTCTCAGCAAAGCAATTTTTACTTTTTTACTTCCTGTGCTATAGAAAGGGTACCCTCAATAGCCTTCTTGCCACGAGACTGCAATGAACAAAAGAAAGCAGACATGTTTATCTCTTAGGCATTTGTGGTTGTCCTTACTGCTGTGTGTGATCTCTGTTGGTTGGAGCCAGACTTCACAATCTAAACTAAAACCGGATTGGCTAATAACTGAAAACTTTTTAAAACAGGTAAGGGGCATAGGCTACCAGCTGAGACATGCCTGTGAGCACATCCAGCACAGATACCTTAAAGTACAAGGACACAGAATATACTACATGCCTATAAGCATGTCTAACAGCTGCATAGGATAGGGCTTAACAAAGAGTTATTAGCAAATTTATTCTTTAACAGGAAAGGAAACTTTAAAGAGGCACTTTTCCACTTCCCACAATAGCCAAGTTTATCTTTTGAGAATTTGGAAAGGCTCCTTTTTTTTTTTTTTAATGAATTTTCTATTTGGTGGTAGTGATACCATTGTTGCTTAGGCTGTGGAAGAATTAGGAAGAACCATTTGTTCTGGAAAAACTGCAGAATAGTACAGTGATGCTATTACAGAAACCCGCATCCCTTATGTTTGCTGATTATAAATTTTTTTTCCTGAGTATTGATCTTATTTTAACATCCTAGTATTTAGAAAGAAGTATTAAAATCAAATATTGATTGAAAGAAACAGAACTGTCTGAAGCCTTGCCTTCTGAAATGAAAACTGAAAAAACTAGAAGTATTTCTCTGCTAAGATTATGGAGAAATAAAAAAAACATCTCCCTCTGCTTGGAGTCATTAGTTTCTTCAAGGTTTTCTTTAAACTGGAATGATGACCTCAGGGGAAACACAAAGGCGGCCCTTTTTCTTTGCTATGATTATTTCTACTTAATCCACTGAAAGCTTCCATTTTGGGAGGTGGGGACCAATATAAAACTGTTCAGTGGAGTAAGCAGAAATAATTAAAGACCATGATCTACAAAGTGATGGTTTGGGGAATGATTCTTTTCTTATTGACAACAAAGCAAGAAATGTAGTCAGAAAATAGGAGTTCCTGTAATTGTATGAATAAGTGACAAAGGTGCACGTGGCCCTCTCAGTGCTGGAGCTCGTTTGTGTGCACGGTGGCAACAGAGTCTCAGCAGGGATGTTTTTGCAGCTAACTCCTGTGCTCCGTCTCTTCCAAGAGTAGCATGGAAACATGACTTGTAGATGTCCCTTTCCCACAGCATTCTTAAAGCACAATGTATTTGATAGACAGCAATGAATGTGCTCTATAATGAAAGGCAATTCTTGTTTTCAGCTGTACTCAGCTCATCTTTTCCAACTTAAGATGCCACATAAAGCGCTTCTTGTGAGTCAGACTGGGTGGTTTTAGGGCTGGGACTTGACACAGGGATGGTAGAGGTCACCTCGAAGCCACCCCAGGAAAAGAGACCGGTTCCTCCAGTGTTTGAGGAGTTTTGCTCAATCTCCAAGGACTTTGCAAAAAAGAGCCTAATTAGGAAGCTAGTAAGAGAATTTATAATAACTTGGTGTGTGCAGTGTCTGCCTCCCAGGGAAGTCAAATATCATAGGATATTTTCTCCAAAAGGCTCTGAAGATAAGTACACATATATGCATATGTACATCTATATATGTATAACTAACATGTTACATGTAATTCATAAGCACATGTTATAAAAAGCATAAAGAACCATACGTTTATTCATTACAAGAAATTCTAGTAGTTCACCCAAACTTTATTGTGGTGGTGGTTTTTCACAAATTGTATTTTGTTTTTAATTGACACACAATAATTGTATATATTTATGGGATGCAGTGTGATGTTTTGATACATAAATACATTGTGTCATGATCAAGTCAGGATGCTTCCCATATCCATCAACGCAAACACTGTAATTTATTTGTGGTGAGAACATTCAAAATCCTATCTTTTGGCTGTTTTGACCTATGCAGTACATTACTGTTGACTGTGGTCATCCTGCTGTGCGGTAGAGCAGCAGAACTTATTTCTCCTGTCTCACTGTAACTTTGTGCCAGTTGACCAACCTCTCCCCATTTACCATCCCCACTGCTCTCTGTAGCCCCTGCTAACCACTGTTCTACTCTTGTGTAAGATCAACTTTGATTCCACGTATGAGTGAGGTCATGCAGTATTTGTCGTTCTGTGTTGGGCTTATTTCACTTAACATAAGGTCTTCTAGGTTCATCCATTTTGTTGCAAATGACAGGATATTGTTCTTTTTATGGATCTTCTGCTCTCTTTTCAATTGTTTTGAGAAACTTCATACCCTTGCCTATAATGGTATACAAATTTATATTCCTCTCAACAGGCTAGGAGAGTTGTCCTTTTTCCAGATTCTCACCAACAATTTTTTTTTTTATTGCGAATGTCAGGCTATTATTGTTTTTATGTCTGAATAATAGTCCATTGTATATATATACCACATTTTCTTGATTCATTAATTGTTGGACACTTAGGTTGATTCCATAGCTTGGCTATTGTGCATAGTGCTGCAGTAAACGTGGGAGTGCAAATGTCTCTTTGGTATACTGATTTTGTTTCCTTTCAACATATGCCCAGTAATGGGATTGTTGGAGCTTTCATTCTATTTTTAAGTTTTTGAGAAACTTCATACCATTGTCTATAATGGTATAGTAATTTATATTACTACCAACAGGTTATAAGAGTTCTCCTTTCTCTGGATCCTCACCAGCATTTGTTTTTGTTTTTGCCTTTTAGATAATGACCAAAAACACAAAACTGGGTGAGGCGATACTGTGGTTTTGATGTGCATTTCCCTGATTAGTGGTATTGAGCATTTTTTTCATATACCTGTTGGTCATTTGTATGTCTTCTTTTGAGAAATGCCTATTGAAGTTTTTCTTATTTGGATTATTTGTGGTTTGTTTTGCTATTGCGTTTGAATTCCAATATCAATGCTTTGTCAGATACATTTATGAATATTTTCTCCCACTCTGTAACTTGTCTCTTTACTCTTGATTGTTTCCTTTGCTGTGGCAGAATCTTTTTAGCTTGATATAATCCCATTTGTCTATTTTTCTTTGGTTGCCTGTGCTTTTGACGTGCTGTTTTTTTAAAAGTCTGAGGCTACGCATGGTGGCTCACACCTGTAATCCCAGCACTTTGGGAGGCCGGGGTGGGAGGATTGCTTGAGACCAGGAGTTCCAGACAAGCCTGGACAACACAGAGAGACTCTCATCTCTACAAACAAATTAGATTGATGTCCTGAAGTGTTTCCCCAATATCTTCTTCTAATAGCTTCATGGTCTTGTACATTCAAGTCTTTAATCCATTTTGAGCTGATTTTTCCACATAGCAGGAGTAGGTAGTTTCATTCTTCTACATTTCACTATCTAGTTTTCTCAGTGCCATTTATTGAAGAGACTTCTCCAGTATGTGTTCTTGGAGCTTTTGTTGAAAATCGGTTGACTGTAAATGTGTGGATTTATTTCTGGGTTCTCTACTTTGTTTCTTTGTTTATGTGTGTATTTTTATGCAAGTACCATGCTGTTTGGATGACTAGACTTGGAGTATATTTTAAAGTCATTTAGTGTGATGCCTCCCAGCTTTGTTCCTTATGCTACAAATTGCTCTGGCAATTTGTAGTAGTCTTTTGTGGTTGTATACAAATTTTTTAGTTTTTTTTCTATTTTCGTGAAAAATATCATTGGTATTTGGATAGGGATTGGTTTGAATCTATAGATCTCTTTGGGTAGTACAGCCATTTTGACAATATTAATTTTTCTAATCCATGGACATGGGATGTCAATTTCTCTTTTTCCTTTCATTAGTGTTTTATAGTTTTTCTTGTAAAGACATTTCACGTCCTTGGATAAATTTATTCCTAGTTTTTATTTTATTTTGGGACTGTAAATAAAATTGCTTTCTTCTTTTTTTTTTTTTTTTTTTNTTTTGGCTTGTCCATTGTTGATGTATAGAAATGCTACTGATTTTTGTAAGTTTATTTTATATCCTACAACTTTCCTGAATGTTTTATCAGGACTAAGAGCTTTTCGGTGGAGTGTTCAGGGTTTTCTGTATGTAGGAACAAGTCATCTACAAACAGAGACAATTTGAGTTCCACTTTTCCAATTTGGATCCTCTTCATTGCTTTCTCTTGACTCATTTCTCTGGCTCAGACTTTCAGTACTATGTTGAATAAAAGTGATGAAAGTGGACATTCTTGTTTTGTTCCAAGTTTTAAGGGAAAAACTTTCCATTTTTTCCTCTTTCAGCATGTTAGCTGTCATTTTGTCATATATGACCTTTATTAGATTGAGGTACATTCCTTCTATATCTAATGTATTTAAAGTATTATCATGAAGGGATATTGCATTTTATCTAATGCTTTCCCTTTACCTTTGTCTGTTGAGATGATCCTGTGGTCTGTCTTCCATTCTGTTAATGTAATGTGTCATGC